ATCAAAAACATTGTAGATTCATAGAGAATCATAGAGAGAAATTGCTTTGGCCTTCTTTCAGGAATGTAAATGCATACGTTCTGCCAAAATAGGCAGTATATCCAGTGATTACTTCTTGAATGCATATTCCTAATAACAAACCAACAAATACCATTTCTTTCATGCAACCTCAAAAATAGCAAAGTTCAGTCTTTTCTGGTAAGGTAATTTCATCATCTTGCCTATTGAAGCTCTTGGCTGCCAAAAATCAAAGAAGAAAAGTTATCTATGATACTTGGTCATGAAAATTTGCTAACTCTCATCTAAAAAGTAATGAACATCGGTCCAAATTATAGAACAAGATCTAGGTCTGCAGCAAGGATTGAAGCAAATAAAAGTCCTGTGACTAGAGGTCTGGAATATGGGACTGGCCAGGCAGCTTGTGATGGGGCTGGAAATCTCCGCTTTAGAGGGTGGTATGTGCAATGTGAAACTTTGCAGGTGTTGCAATGTGCAATGAGTAGCACAGCCTTCGCTGGCCGGAATGAGGTAATTGTGCTCTTGTGGCAAAGGAGATGGTGGCTCAGGCGGGCCAAAGCAATGGGTGTCAACAACCCGCAGCTCTTTCATCCCCCTGCTTTGGCTCCTTGTTGGCTGAATCCACCAGTGGCTGGCCCCACCCTTTGCATTCCCTTTCCAGTCACTCCTCACCTGGCCTAAAAGGTAAGGGTGGGAGATGGAGACTCGCTCCATATTTCAGAGCAGGCACAAAGCGCTCCTATACTTGCTTCATCTCTTGCTAGGTCTCACGGGTGCTTCTTCTGGCCCTTATTGATGCTGCGCACACCTCAGTTGCTCAGGGAGATGCACAACTTCCTCTCTGCCCTGAGATACTGCCTCGACCCAACCGTTTCTCTCTGTTGCTGCTGTTGGAACCTCCATAGCCTGCCCAGTGCTCTCGCAGTGCTTTGTGCAGCAGTTAAATTTAGCGGGCTTCACAATGGGGGAGACGGCATCCCCTCCTCCTCCTGGAGCCCATTACAATGCAAGTAGGGAAGTGCCTCAGGGCAGAGAGCACGTCATGCATCTCCCCGAGCGACTGGGGGTGACTCCCCAGATGCCTCCTGGGGCTACCCCAACTCCCCTAGCTCGTCTCTCAGGGAGGAGCTGGGACCCTTCCAGGGTCTACTCCTGGCAGAGTAGGCACCCAGCCCAGGGAGATGCAGGAGCAGGTCCGGTCTACCTGGACCACGGTCTAGAAAGGACAAAGGTTTGACCTTGTCAGCGGAGATGAGGGAGGTCATCTCCATTGCCATCTCCCAAGGGATTGCTAAAGGCATAAAACATAGAGAAGCAGGGAAATCCGGGATTTCCAAACCTAAACGGGTTTCTGGCACTGCTCAGGTTCAGGTTCCAGCCTCTCCTGGCACCTCGGTCACCACGGAGAAGTCGGTTTGGGAGGAAGAGGGGAGGCAGGGAGCTTTGAGCTGTCGGAGGAAGAAGACCTACCTCCTGACAAGACATTTGTAGAGTGGCCACGTGGGCTTCTCCCACTGCATTTATCAGGAACTATAAGATCGACACCTTTCTCTCAGCTGAAGCCTCTTTTGGATGGAGAATTCTACAGAAAGTTGTAGAGGCTCCGGAGACTCAGGTCTCTTCCCACCCGGGGACACAATAGCTTGGGCATGTCCCATGTTTGGACTCTCCAAGCAGTGCACTGGAGAAAGACCATTGGCTTACCTAAACGGTCGTTCTCTGGGCACTGAATAAACGGTCGTTCTCTTTTAAACTGAATAAGGGAGGCGTGGCCTAGAGAAAAAACTCACTCAGTCCTAGGGCAGATAGACTGTGTTAACCCACGCTTGGACTCTCCTCGCAGTGCCCAGAGAATGACCTTTCAGGTAAGCCAACGGTCTTTTTGTCACTGGGGGTCCAGGCGCTTCAGTGAGCAGCACACTGGATTCATATTAGTGGTCCACAGAATTTAAAATTATGAATTTAATGGTCCCTGAAGTCCAAAAGGTTGATGACCCCCGCTGTAGAGAATATATCTCTATCTCCCATTCAGCCTGCTCTTAAGCTGTTTAATGTTAGATTAAGTGTTTGCCATAGGAAAGGGAAAGAAATCATCAAGCAGGCCTTATAACTTGCATTAAAGAGAGGGGTCAAGGTGGTACAGTTGGGGGCAGCAATCTGCTCAGCTCCAATTGGGTTTGCAGGTCTCCTGTGGGACTGCCCCCCTTCCCTCCAGTAGCTCAACTTTCAGCCTGTGATTCATTACTGTTTTGAACGTACTCCCCTGACCCCTCCCCACACACCCATGAAATATTTTGCTAATTGGGAGCAGCCATCACTTGGAACTGTTCTTTAGATTGACAGATAAATAATAAAAAAAGGGAAAAAGTCACAATTTGAAAACATTGCCAGCACTTTTAATTTTCTTGAAGGCTCTTAAAACACCTTGTTTTTCTTTTTTCAGAGGCAGAAGCACCCCTGGCACTGCCTCCCAAGCACCTTACAGGTGTTCAGTGCAGTGGTAATGATGTAGGGAGGTAAGAAAATGGCAGGCAACCTACCAATCACTGCCCCGAAGCTAGTGTGTGGCAGCAGCACTTCAGCCTTATTGCCAAGATGCATTAAGGAGAATTTATTGAGATAGCACATTTTGTACCATCAGGCTTCTCTTCATCTCAGGGAAAAGAAGAAAGCACATTGCCCATGGCCATATAGATGAGTCCTTACTATTTCTGTCAGAACAATGCAAAAAATAAGAGATGTGTAACTTTTTGTCTCTCTTCCCTTCCTTTGAAATATGAGTAGTGATGAGAGGAGCTATTCTTTTGGTCCAGACTATTGTGCTTGATCTTTAAAGACCTTCATGTTGTGACTAGGAAGCTGTCTATATGCATATCTTGTTCTATTTGTAGATTCAAACTTTGACAGAGAACCTTGTGAAAGTTCTTTTTTCTTTTTGTAGAGTGCCTATGACATGGATGTCTGCAGGAATAGCAAGGGAGAGAAATGAAGTTGCATGCATCATGAAATCATCAAGCAAATATATAATTCGTGTGATTTGTTTGATGACATAATGGCACTTGCAATTTCACTGTGATGTCATCATGCTTCTAATGGATAGCTGTAGGCTCACCTGAGATTTTAATTTCTATTTTACCAGACTTACATTCTTCCTTTTTTCCCCAACAACTTTTGTTTCCTGGGCTTTCATGCCCTCATTTATTGCTCAATTAACTGCTGATCTATACAATAATACTTGTATAAATAGCAGATATTCTTCTTAACAGATTTTTAAGTTGAAGAATCACTTTTTTTATTCTTGGTACTTGATCTTAAGATCTGAGCGTATATACAGATAATCTTTGGCTTACAACCTTAATTGAGCCAAACATTTCCATTGCTAAGCAAGATAGTTGTTAAATGCATTTTATCCCATTTTGTGACTTTTCTTACCATAATTATTAAATGAATCACTGCAGTTGTTAATAACTTGGTTGTTAAATGAATCTGGCTTCCCCATCGACTTTGCTTGTCAGAAGGTCACAAAAGTTGATCACATGACCCAGGGACACTGCAACCGTCATAAATATGAGCCAATTGCCAAGTATCTGGATTTTCATAACATGACCATGGGAATGCTGCAATGCTTATAAGTGTGAAAAACTATCATAAGTCATGTCTATGGAGATTCTTAGTCAACCAGGTCATCGTTGAAAAAGCATCTTTGAGATTATCATGTCACTTTTTCAGTGCTGTTGTAACTTCACTTCTGTTTGATGAAATAATCATTTGAACTAAAGAAGTAATAAGAATTAATTGGTCAAATTATCTGGTCATTGGCTCTATTACAGCTGCACTGGCACAATGGTTAGAATGCAGTACTGCAGGCTACTTCTGCCAGCTCCCTGTAATTTGGCAGATTGAATTTTACCAGGCTGAAAGTTGACTCAGCCTTTCATTCTTCCTAGGTTGGTAAAATGAGGACCCAGATTGTCGGGGGTAATATGCGCTATTAGCCTTTCTCAGTCTGGTGACATCCACATAATAGGTCTCACTCCCTTCATTAATTTCATGCCATATGGGTGACTTTTTCCACATAGGATAAAATAATTTTGTAATGGCAGCAGGCACTCAATTTTTACATCCTCAATAAATAGTAGGAGGATGAATGTACTAATTTGGTGCATAGCCAAGCTTCTGTGGACAGAGAAGGCAATAGTGAGCTCCATAGATGTGAGTATCGTATGATAAAGTCAGACATAATCAAAGATATTTATTTCTTTGGCCAGTTTGGTGCATTTCTACCAATCAGCAAGGGGAAGATTTCATATAAATCAAATTACATTTTAGAATTGTGTGTGAAAAACACAGAAAATATCTGAGACAATGCCTGGTCTTGAATGTTTCTTTGCCTTCCCTTTCTAGCTGCAGTTGGGAAAACTGAATTTAGAGTTACTTCAGCAGATACCAACTGTTTAGTGACTGACTTGTTTATTTTGTTTAATAATAACAACAACCAGGCAACATTCTGCAATGGAGTAGGGGCCACACAACTGATTTTAAATTGGGGAAACAAAATTTATGAAAGCTCTTTTACTCTATATCTCATGAATCTATTATCAGCAGGAATAGAAGGGCTATATAGATCAATATTGTAGTCAAGGTAAAGTCAGGGTAAATTTCACCATGCAAAGCAGAATAAAAACAAATACATTAGGCTGCACTTGTAATTAATATATTAATGTGCAAAGATTCTTATATTGAACAAATTTAGGATTTATTCCAAAACTGCTATATAATTTAGCACATTTTAATTATGTCTTTATTTCATCAGATGCAACATATAGCATAAGAATTAAGATGGTAGTGAGATTCTGTTCATTTTCCTTGCCAGAAAACCCCCACTTTACAGTCATGATAGATGTAAGGTCCTGCCTCTCCCTCCTGTTCAAGAAAACATGGATTCGCGAAACTTTAGCATTTCAAAAGGAAACTTTTATTGAAAGGAAGTGAATGCAAGACAATGCAAAGCAGGGTCTGAGTTTCCCCCAGGCAATTCCGTTAGGATAAAATGGTTAGAAACCCCTCCTCTCAATTTGATGTTGAATGAGCCAATCCACAGGTGTGAAGATGTTGTAGAAACGGGTCATCCTGAGAAAGAGATGAGTCGTTTCCATGTGCTTCTCTGAGGCTTCCAAACAGAGAAAACAGATGGTCCTCCCCCTTATACATCCTCCAAGGTAAATCAAAGCCCAGGGCAGAATAGGTGACATGGTAAAAGTTATAAACTAGGGAATTACAGGACATACAGAAAACAGTATGAGAGCAATAAGTGAGTAAAAGAATTCAGGGTCCCTTCCCCACTTGAATGGCAGTATCACGATAGGGATCTGACAATAGGTATATTGAGAAATGTGCCATATATACTATTTGTTTTCATGAGTGCTCAGGGCAACTAGGACTGAAATCAGCCTGAAGATATTCATGAGTGTATGTCCCAGGTCTCTTATAAGGGGACCATGCTGGTTTCTTCTGCATTATTTGTGGCAGTATCACTTTTGGAGACATTTTCATCATTTGTTTGCCATTGTCTTGTAACTTGATGTTTAACACAACAATTATTTTTTAGAACTTTTGCTAAGTTCTTTCTAAACTTCACACCGATAAAGACATAGAGAAGTGGGTTGAGGCAACCATGGAAATAAGCAATTGCTTCTGTGATGATCAAAGCATATTGAAACCTGTAGCTGAGCATGATATTACGGTCTGAGGCCCGTATCAGTTTCAAAAGATTGTAGGGCATTTGTGTCAAAATGAAAGTAACAATAATAGCGAATATTATTTGTAAGGATTTGTGCTTGTGGAAGCCCTTAGCACTGAGTAAAGTTTTTACAATGATTGAGTAGCATGTAATCATGATGAGCATAGGACAGAAGAATCCAAGTGTCATCTGAATTGTTTCTGTGAACAACTCCATAAACTTTGAAGAATAATTTGCAAAACATATCTTTTTGTCTAATTTTTCCTCTGTACTGAAGATGAACTGTGGCAAAGCAAGCAGCAGAGAGATTATCCAAATCAAAATACAGACCACAATACCCCAGAATTTTCTTTTGTGTTGACTGATACGAGTTTTGGTCGCTTGCACAATTACAAAATATCTGTCAATAGTAATAGAAGTGAGTGTTAACATGGAACCATACAGATTCAGGGTGTAAAAACCAAGGATGATTTTACATGGGAGAGTGTAAAAGATCCACTCTTCTGCAGCAGAATAAGCCCAAAAAGGCAGTGTGCAAAGGAAGCTAAAATCAGCAATAGCCAGGCTCACTAAAAATATGTCTGTAAGCATTTTCACTTTTTTGTAAAAAACTAGAATAATGATAACCAAAGAATTTCCTGTCACTCCAAAGATGCAAGCAAATAAATACATGCAGACAAGAAAAATTCGCTTGAATCTCAAAAAGGTTTCATATGAATAGCTTTCATCAAAAGTATTGTTGCTAAGAAATGCATAGTAATCATCTTCCTCCATGTTTGTGTTCCTTCCGTTCTTTAATACCTGTAAGAATATATATTGGAAAATGCTTCATATGATAAATCTACAATGCAATTTCCACTATTTATTATTAGGAAAAGTTTCTATCATGTTTCACCAGCTTGGAGATGGGGAGATGGCAATTATAGTCTACAGTAGATACAGGTAGGGATGATCAAATTGGGGAAGGATGCTACAGTTCTTCATTTTAATTCCATTATTTTGAGAGTAAATAGTAGTATCAAACTAATTTACAACAAAAACATACATATAATAGCATTAACAATGTAAAGTAAAACTAGAATAATGATATTTGAAGAAAAGATTACATCATAAAATTACCTCTTTTACCGCTCTTTTCTAAGAGGAAACTATTCAGAAGTCTTCTCTTTTTGTCCTCTATTTCAAAAAAAACAAAGAATCTGGTTGTTTACAAGCAACATTGCTGCAGATCAAATTGAATCTTTACAATATTATGTAACATTCAGTCCTGAATCTAAAAAGTTCATAATTATTAATGGCTTGTCAAATTTGGCATATAGGAAACGTAGGCAAAAAGATTATATGCAGTTTTAATACAGATGATTAATTGTATTAATTGATCCAAATCATATTAATAACCCAATTGATTTTAGCCCCAAATGTGACAGCAGTAAGATAAATCAAAATCATTTGAGTTAAGGTTTCAATTTTTAAATTGGCCTTCAATATAAGGCAATAGAAGCCAACGCTTATTAAATAGTCTCTGAAATGTCCAAAATATAAAAGCATTTTTACCATTAAGATCAAGTTAACTGCATACTTTGAAAACAGCCTTTCACTAATTAAATCTTAATAAACTATTTCCAAAGAAAACATAAAGTCATTTTTTTCCTTTCTTTGAACTTTCTAAAACATAGTTTAAATTTCAGTTGAATTCCCTAAAATCTACAAGCTCAGATGCAGTAATGGCATCACAACCACAGTCCAATTATCAAGGATTTAAGTTAAAAAATAATATAAATCAAACTTTTTATTTAATTCTAAAGAAGTTTAAAAGCTTCCCCAGAACTGAATTGATCCAAAATGCTAATATCCTATATGCTCAGTTTGCCCAGGAGATAGATATATTCACTTTTTAAAATCTATTTCTCTTGGCTGTATTCAAAAGTAAATTTTAATTTCATAAAGGAACCAACAATCTTCAGCCCAAGACATAATCAGAACCTTAATAGTGAAATATCTTTCTACTGTATTAATCCTGAATCAAGGTATGAAATCATGGAACTGATCAAGTATGTATAAGTATATAATAATTGTATTTTGTGTGTGTGCGTGTACGTGTACACACACACACATACACACACACACATACACACACACACACACACACACACATCAGTATACATAAGTAAGCCACAAAAGAACATAAGGAGTCATCCAGTAAGGATTTTCAAGCGGTTAAAAAGGTGAAAAAAATGATTTACCAAAGAGGAGAGCATTTATAATTCAGGGTTGAAAAATTATTTACACAGATATAAACAATAACTCTAAATGTTTAAAGTGAAGTATAAATATCTAAGTAATAATTGTTGGCCGAAAATGAAGGGGAGAATACACTATTGAATACTTCATTTTACAATTACACTTTGTTTTTATCTTTTGGCATCTCTATTTTTTATCTACTTTTACAGAGTGCCTAAACAAAAATAAAGTTCATCAAATACTTTAAAGAATATGTAAAACATTTTGCTGGAGCTAACTGATGATTTATGGCAGTTTTTGATAATAATGCTTGGATTTGTTTGTTCCCCTTTTGCAAATAAATGCATTGCAGTACTGATGCATTTTACAGCCAATATTCTTGGAAAAGAAAATGAATCAATTATTTAAAGCTGTAGAAGTGGATATGAAAAGTGAGCTTTAAGAATGTAGGATTTATAAAAAATAAAAGCAATCTACTTTTTAAAAATGCAACATATCTGAAGAAGTAAATAAACTTTCAACATCATTCTTTTAAAAGGTGATGACTTTTCTAACTTGTTTTCTTATACATAAAGATTTTAAATATAAATTTGAAGCAGATAACAGCTTACCTTGCAGTGGTACAATCTTATCTTGTACTTCAATATCAGAAAGTGCATGAGAGTGACATTTGTCGTAACAATATTTATTTATTTGTTACCATGTGCTTCCTGTTCAATTTTACAGGAAAAGAAATTACGTTGCTTATGCATCTGGTTTACCGTTAAATATCTCTGACTTGAATAACCTACTAATTGTAGGAAAACATGTATGTGTTTGGGTACCTGTATCATGTGATATAATTAAATGGTCATATATATTTTCTTATATGATCTTATTGTAAGTATAAACAAATAATGTTACTGAGGGTCAAATAAATTCTTATTTGGGTCAATTTAAAATATTGGCTTTATCTAGGTAATGCCAATATAGTTTTGAAGATGTTGGAAATCGTAATGCTTTTTTTATATGTGTCTTAGCTTATCAAAACATTCCCAATATAGTGAATTGCTTTCCCCAAGAAGCATGTGTAGCTTATGACTATTTGGAGGAAAAGATGCAAATATGCATCTTTTATATTCAGTACTTTTTAATAGAATGTATTTCATTGTTATAAGACACCTAGAATAACCCCAAGAGATAGGTGGCAAATTAACTTAGAAATAAATATTTATAAATATATAGTAGCTTAAGGTTGAACTATGGAATCCTTGATATTCTTTGAGCTTGATTATTTATTTGCAAACTTTTCTTGCCTGACTAGGTATCATTGCTCATCACTGCTAGTGTGTTTATGGACGTTGCTTGCTGGTACTATACAGTGTGTTGCCTTGCTGGTATTGGTGGGGATATGGATTTCTCCTGGGTATAGCTTCTTGATTAAAGTATTGTTTTCTGTTAGGTTATTATTTTCAGTGTTTCTGTTCAGGCAACCCCATGTTCACTAGGATTGATAATATTAACCAGTCAGGTAATAAAACAACTGCAAGCAAAGAATTAAGCTCAGAGAGCACCAAATACTCCATTTTCAGTTTGCAACAATTTTATTAATTTTTATTGAAATTTGACACTATGTTGAAGTGTTTGTTTTATGTGCAGTTTCATAAAAATTCTCTGTAGATTATATAGGGCAAGCATAAGAAATAATTTTGGTGGTAGATATTTTAAAAGCAATCATGCTGTAGGCAGCAAGAACTGCTATGGTAGACATGTTCAGAAACAAAACCTAAAATATCTGATAGATCTTGGAATTTGAACAACACCAGGGGAAATGTTGAATATCCCCAAAGTCACTTGTTCAAAAGGAGCTTCACGAGTGCCCACTTACCTTCTACTCATGCAGTTGGAGTTGCACGTGCATCCGGCTTGGTTCCGAATGGAACGGGACCTGATATTGGTCCACAGCCCGGGGGTTGGGGACCCCTAATGTAGGAGGTTTAAAAATGAGTAAGGAACAGCTAACTCTGCTACTTTTTGCATATATTTTTATTTTATTCAAGACAAATACAAAATACAACCCCCCCCCACCACATAAAATAAAAAATCTAAAAAAGAGAGGAAAAAACCCCAAACAATTAAAACATTAAAAAAGAAAATGTATAAAAAAGACCAATACATATACACATATTATCCCTCCCCCAGTTGAATACTGATTGATACATTACTATGATATTAGTTCCCACCTCTTGAGAAACAGGTCCTCCCAAAAATTTTAAACTGCTAAATCTGTTTGCAAATTATTATTTTTTGTTTTATTTTATTTATGTAACATATACAAATTCAGTTTCCATCAAATAGTATGTTGTCTGGGTATAATTGTTTTAGGCAATCATAATCAAAATCTTTTCAATAGTATTCATCACAAAGACATTAATACCAGAGGTGGTATTCAGCAGGTTTTGACTAGTTCTGGAGAACCGGTAATGGAAATTTTAAGTAGTTCAGAGAACCGGTAAATACCACCTCTGACTGGCCCTGCCCCCATCTATTCTCTGCTTCCCAAGTCTCAGCTGATCAGAAGGGAATGGAGATTTTGCAGTAAACTTCCCCTGGAGTAGGGCTGGAATGGAGATTTTACAGTATCCTTCCCCTGCCATGCCCGCCAAGCCAAGCCACGTCCACCAAGCCAAGTCCTCAGAACTGGTAGTAAAAAAAATTGAATCCCACCATTGATTAATATTATAATAACAATAATATTTAACTTATCTACTTTAATAAATCTCCATTTTAACATTTGTCCTTTTTATGTCCCCACATTTCTAACTTCTGTTTCTATTGTCTAACTGTTGGTAAAATAGGTCTGATATCAAAAAATATTCAGTTTCTTCTTTCTCCTTAAGAGTAAGTATTAGTCTATCCATTTCTGCACATTCTAATATTTCTTAATTACACTCTCATCTCATTGTTCTTCCATTGTTGTTCAAATACAATTCTGGCTACAATCAGTACATGTAAAATCAAATATATAGTCCTTTTATCATATTTTTCTAGCAGAATGTCCAATAAAAATATTTCTGGTTTCAAAATCTATATGCTGCTTTATCATTTTGTCCAACCAAGTATGTATTGTATGTTTTGGAGTATAAGACACACCTTTTTCCCTCAAAAAAGAGGCTGAAGGAGGAAGAAGGCGGGGCTTAGCAGTGAGAAGACGGACTTTCAGGCAGTTCCTGAGAGACCATCTAAACCGGGTCATTTGGACGATTCGTTTTGGATCTAAGCTGTCCCGGAGAGAGAGTGAAAGGTGGAGGGAACTCCAGTGGTCCCAGAGATGTTCGCAAAATCTCTGGGAACCTAAGGAAAGCCCTCCTAATCCAGTGATTTCTGGATCAGCCGATGCTGACTATAACTGCAAAAGCCCAGAGAGAGAGAGTGGATATAAGCATGTCGTTTGGTGTGAGTTTTAAATCTTTTTTTCTTGTTGGAAAGAGAACACTCTAAATTTGGAAACTTAGTTTAAAATAAGGCTGACTAGTGAGAAAAGCAGCGAGGATAAATGTTGCCGATTGAAAGTTTATTTTTCTGTTCCTATTTTTTATCTTTGGAAGCCGGGCTGGACTTTCTTGTAATATAAA